ACGTTCGAAACCTCCTGGAAGGAAGAACAGTGTCTTCGGCAGCCTCTTAAAAATGATGAAAGGGGGGGGGGATTTCCAAGTGCAGCTCGGCCAGGACTTGATTCCCAAAAGTCGGTGCCACTGCCGAGAAGGCCCGACATCTGTTGAGGATCTCCCGGCCTCCTTCGGAGAGCCCACCTGGAGGAGCCTGGCTTCAGGCATCTGGTGGCGCAGGAGGATGACCTTGGGGAAAAGACATGCCAACGAGTAACATCATCACACACTCGATGATGTTACTTGTTGCTTCCTTCAGGGAGTCAATTCATCTCTTCTTCAGCCTTTCTCTTCTCCGGCCACTTTCCACCTTTTCCCCCTTTCTGCGCTCTTTCCCAGCATGCCTTGTCTTCGCACGGTGTGCCCGTTTTCAGGTTTAGATGGTGTAACACTCTGGGGATTAAGTTGGATGGCAGACCTCTCTTTAAGTAATGCTGTGAAACTCCCCGACCTCTCTCCTGCTCAATGACTTGGAAATGGCACAGAAAGTGAAAAACAGTGAGTCTCTGTGTATCAGTACATTTCCTCTTCCCTCTCTCTGCAGACGAACGCTGTCTAGAACTGCTGTAGGTCTGAACATGTTGTTGTTTAGTCGTTAATTTGTGTCCAACTCTTTGTGACCCCATGGACCAGAGCACGTCCGGCCCTCCTGTCTTCCACGGCCTCCCGGAGTTGGGTCAAATTCATGTTGGTCACTTCGATGACCCTGTCCAGCCATCTCATCCTCGGTCGTCCCCTTCTCCTCTTGCCTTCACACTCTCCCAACATCAGGGTCTTTTCCAAGGAGTCCTCTCTTCTCATACCCTCCTGAATTAATGACTCCACAGGGAAAGTTAAAAATAAACCTCAGGGGACTAATAGGGAAATTCCAATGGATTTCTTGTAGCATAAATGTGGAAGGCCAGGGGTTGAGACAATGAAGTGGGCTCCCAGGAACAGTGGTTGGGTGAAGGACAGACGGCAGGGCTAAAATCCAGGGAGGAGACGGTGGCCAGTCAGGGGTAGGAAAGGTGGCCAGTGGGGAGGGGGTAGGAAAGGCCAACAACCATCCGGAGACTTGTAGTAAAAAGAGGCAGCAGGAAATGGACCTGGCAGTGGTGTCTGTGTCGGCATGATCACCCTGGCCTCTAACCAAGGTTTAAAGTACTCATTCTTCATTTTATTTTATTTATTTTTGAAGTTGGGAGTGGCCAACCTGTCCTAACTGGCCATCCAGTTTAGAGTTTTTGCTTTATTATGTCTTTGGAAATGTACACGGGACAAGAGATGTGGGCAGCTGTGGTCACTGGAACGAAGATGTTTTTCTGAGATATTTAGAACTATTTTGAGTCTGTAGCTCAAGGGGAAAGCTCTCCCATTGGAAGCTTATTTGACCCAAAATACAGAAGAACCAAGCGACACCTCTGATAGTGCTCAACAAAGATCTAATTACTGTACTAGCATCCTGAGGAAACCAATTTGGGGATATGACTCCAAATTGTTTGTTTTTTCAATTTAGGTTGAAAAAACAAACAGCCATGTGTTCCTTTATGCAATCCAAATGTAGAAGCCACTAAAAATCAAACATTCAGCGCACACTTTCGTGAACAAAATTCACTTCGTCTGGCATAAAGTGGAAAAAATATGAAGGAAAGTCCGAGATTAGTCATGGCGGAGGTAATCTGCCAGGTACGTTGCTGGAGGTGAGCTGAAGGCCGGTTTTGATCAGTTTTTTTGGGAGGGGGCTGTTTTTAAATACCTCCCCCCATGCTATTTAGTTAGAATTTTCCACTCAGCCTCCAAGAGGAGAGGTGATCCCCAAAAGAGCCCCCTTCTAGCTGTCCAAGATTCCATGTTACTAGCCCTTACCGTTTTGGTAAGGTCTTTCGGACAAAGAAACAAATGTTCAGAACCTACCTACCTATCTGTCTCTCTCTTTCTCTCTATACCCAGGTGGATGATGTAACCAGCCTTCCACAGAGGTGGATGCAATAACAGTGGAAAGTGGAGATTTCTGTGCCTTCTCAGCGTTGGTGCCTGGGGTCAAAACCTCCGTAGGTCCACATCCAGGTTATACAGCCCTGGACGTGTTACTCTACCAGTAAGTAGCCAAATACATGGCCCTCTAAGCAAGTAAGGCGCAGTGGGAAGGATCCAGGACCGTTCACTCCGGAGGTCACCAGCCTTCATTCCAACATTCGCATCAGTCGAAAGGCCTGCACTCTGCAGGTGCTCAGAGGCGCTCCCTGACCATCAACTGAACTCCGCATTTCTCTGCTCCAGTTCAGGCACGCAGGATGCTGCGTCTGTTTGCCATTTGAGCCCCGGGACGCCGCGTGGGGATGCTTGGACAGCCGGTCCCGGCCCCCCCCTCCTCCTCCTCCTCTCGCTTTGCTCCTCCGGCAAAGGTGGAATTTCTCCCAGGTTAATTTTTGCATTTGATGGGAGAAACGGGGGCGCCCCTGGTGGTCAAGGGCGGCACTGCAGGGCGCAAGGCGGCTGTCACTTTCGTTCTCGCCCTCCGTCCGCGCAAAGAAGGAGGCGAGCCTTCTTCCCTCTTGGGGGGCCGCCATGGACACCCGGGGGGCGCAGAAGATCAGCACTGGGGTGAGTGTGTGTGTGTGTGTGTGTGTGTGTGTGTGTGTGTGTGTGTGTGTGGGTGGGTGAGTGAAGGGAGACGAAGAGGGAGGGAGCGAGAGAGGGGGAAAGTTTGAATCAAAGTCTTGGCAAAAAGTTCCTTTTTTTGCAAGACAGCTCCTCTGTTCCCCTGCCGACTAGTGCAAAAAAGAAAAAGCAACTTTTTCCAAGGAGGGGTAGCGCTACCAGGCAGGGAAGAGGTCGAAATAGGGATGGGGAGCATTCCCCCCCCCGTTTTTGTGGATGGGGAAAGACAGATCGATGGAGACCAGCAAAGTGCGCATTTTGCGCAGCGCAAGGACAGGATCCAGCGCTCTGGACTTGAGCGAGCGGAGCGTCAGAATGAGGCTTTGGATGAATCGGTTTTTTTCCCCTCCCTTTTGTCTGAACGAGGTGGAGCTGCAGGTCCAAGTTCCTCACTGAGGGAGGGAACTTGAGCCCGTTTCGCCGTCTTTTTGGCCAACGGGTCCTCCGAGGATAACGGGAGAGGCTGCTTAAACTGGTGGGAGAAAATGAGGAGGTATGAATGTGATTAATTACCAATACTGATACCCCAGGACTATATTTTCAGGGGGGAGCCTTCAAGTTGGCAAGCAATTCTAGATTTTCCCTGCAGGTGCATTTTTACATCTGCCTATTTAATCGGGTAAATTCATCCTAATGAGTAGTACGTCCTCTTTTATATTGTATTTGAAATTATGGAACAGAGTTTCAGAATACAGCAGAAAAAAATTGATTCACATAGTATTAGGTTACTGAGGGGGAAAAGGAATACCCAAGACCCTGTTAAAAGGAATGCAAAGATGGCTGTATAGCAGGGGTGCCGCCCTCCAGATGTTCCTGGACTACAATTCCCATAAACCCCAGTCAGCATACACAACGGTGAGGCATGCTGGGAATCACAGCTGAGCAGTATCTGAGGGGCATATTTTGTCTCACCTTCTTCAATAAGGTCTTTTAGAATGTTCCTCTGTCCAGCGCACTCCTTTAACTGCAAAAACTGTAGCAAGAGCATAGGCCAAATACAGTGGTGCCTCGCTTAACGAGCGCACCGCATAACGACGAAATCGCATAGTGATCCGTTTTTTCGGATCGCTTATGCGATCGCTTAACGTTTTTTTAATAGGGCTAAATTCGCTTTGCGAAGACTGGTAAGCGTTTCGCTTACCGATCTTCGCGAAATGAAGCCCGACGATTAGCTGTTCGGCGGCCAAAATGGCCGCCGGAAGCCCGGAAATGACCCAAAATGAAGGGAAACATATATATTTTAAAAATATTTTTATTTTAAATTTTATTAAATTTGTTTTAAAATATTTTTAGAAGATAGGATCCAAGGTGGCTTACGTCGTTAAAACACAATACCAAAGCTAAAAAGAGTGAATTATTCAAATGTTAAATAAGCCAGTTACCTTATTCTAAGAATGTTAGGTAAAGCATTGCTAAAACAGATTTAAAAGAAACTAAATGCAAACGATTTCATTTTAAAACCTCTCGTAGGCAGTCTGTCACTGAGA